GCTGTAGAGGGCAGTGTCACTGGCCCTCATATGTGGGATCCGAACCGGGGCCTCTGGCATCCCAAGCCAGTTCTTAACCATCGCGCCACTCGGCCAGCCCCAGGCAAATATATTTTGATCATCCCCTTTTTACAGACAAGTAGCAATCACATTCCTAGAACTACCTAGTTAGCAAGTGGAATTGCTGGTATATTAAGGGGTTCTACACATTCTGAACCTACTCAGTTTGCACTATACCAAAATGCCTCTTTATTCAGAACTTTAGTCTATAGGTATAGCAATGGGGCTATAATACATAGTTGGCAGGACAGTTCTGAGATATGCTAGCATATACCTGAAAGCCCCTAACAGTAACTGGCTCATGGTAGACAAAGCCATAACTACATTTTCTTTCAGCAGAGAGGAGGGACCTCTATGTAAACAAATGAATTGACAAATAAATAGCCCATGTTGAGTGACTGCAGAGGATTTTAACCACTTAGGCACAGAAAAGTCAGGCTGAAAAAAATCTTAGTATCACAGATTCAGAGTCTAGAGCTCCAAGAAATTTGTCCAGGTCATTTCTTACAGAAGAGGGAAAGGAAGATTAGAAAGGCAGCTGATGTGCTCAGAGTCAGCGTCAAGTGCTAGGCTGAGACACCAGATCTCACTCATTGGCCCCTTTTTTTTTTCAGGCCGCAAAGGTGCCTCCCATTTTGCTATGCAATCTTACAGTTAAAACTTTCTAAACGTTGTTATTCCGTGCAGTCAGCAATTCACGTATTTTGAAAAGGGGTTTTGCTAGCATTATTTCCGGGAGTCAGTGTTGGAGTTCTGCGCCCCGCGGAGAGGGCCCCTGGAGAGTAGAGGCGGGATTTCCTCGTAGAGCACTTGGCCTGGGGTCCTGACCTCGCGGCTGAAGTCCGCGGCTCCGCCCAAATAGGGAGCAGGGGCGGGGCGATCGCCTCTTTCCCACGGGGCGACCAGGAAGGAGAAAGGGCAGGACGGAGGTGAGCCGGCCGCGGAGGAGCTGGCAAGTGCTGCAGCAGCCCGCGCCATGTCGGCCTACAACCCGGGCACGGAGCTCGGTAAGGGCCCTGCGAGTCAACCCTTCCCCTCTCCTTGCCTCCCGCCCCGGTCTGTCTCCAGCCCCTCGCCTCCTCCTGCCTAGCGCGGGGCTCTGCCGCCCGGTGCCCTGGCCATGGTCTCTCGGAGGTGCTCGCCGGACCAGGTAGTGGTGGCAGTGGGTCCGCCCCCACCCTAAGCGAAGGCCAAACCAGGGAAACTTAACTCGGGCAGTGAACCCCACCAGCCTTGACACCCAAGCCCTCTGTTTGTAAGCGGAAGGATAGGAAAGGATTTGACTTTCATTTTCCAACTTCTGCTAGCTCCCTAGTAGCAGAGAACACAAAACAAGCTCCCCAAACCCGAAACCCACAAAACCAAATAAAAACCTTCCTTATCCACCCTGAATAGAATCCCTGTGCGATTTAATGCTGGATTTCCACGGATAATTTTAACACAGCTGTATCCCAAAAGTGGCCTTGCTGGTGGAAGAGCTGGTGTATGATGTAACTTATTGAAAATTGTGTGTGATTTTACAGGTACAAAGATTTGTAAAAGTGTCTGAATTCTTTCACCATTTTTCCTTTCATTGATATTATAAATATTAGTGGCAGAAGAACTTAGTTCTGATTTCCCTAATGTGAAAAATTGGTGCTTCAAACATAGCAAAACCATGACCGGCCAAAGGTTAAGGATCTCATTTTAAGCCTTAAAGCTTGGATATCTGTATCCTGGATCTTGAATTTATTAGCTGTGTGACTTTGGGCACATTAGTTAATCAGTCTGTGCTTAAGTTTCTTACTCTGTAAAATGGTTATAATAGTATTTACCTCATAAAGTGGTTTGGAGATTAAATGAGAGGATGTAAAGTGTCTGGTACATTGTGAAGACCTAGTAAGTGTTAATAAATAAGTAACAGTATTATGTAGAAAGCTCTATTTTCAGGTGCTAATTTTGAGAACATTAACTATAAGTTATATATAACACATACAGGTACATTTTCCCCCCCTTTAACAGTGTCTGTTCTAATTAAACACTCTAGACTTCAAGAGGTGGTCCAGAAATTTTGTTGAATGTTTAGAGCATGTCTTTATAAAAACAGTTGATTTCCTCACCAAATTGATTCTCCTTTAGTCACTGCCCTTGAGGAGATTGTTTTTTGGGTTTTTTGGTTTTTTAAAGATTTTATTAGGAAACTGGGGAAGGGAAACAGTGTTGGGGAATTGGGGAAGGGGAACAGCCAAGTTGTTGTTCTTTAGTTTTAGTTGTGAAGGGTGCAGCTAGCTCAGCTCCAAGTCCAGTCGTCATCTGGCCGCCCATTGGCAGCTCGCAGCCGCTCAGCTCAAGGTGTCGGGTTCAGTCTTAGTTGCGGGTGAACATAGCCCATCATCCCATGCGGGAGTCGAACTGGCAACCTTGTTGTTAGGAGCACGTGCTCTCACCAGCTGAGCCATCCTGCCACCTGTTGGCAGCTCAGCTTGGGTGCAGCTCACTGGCCCATGTGGAAATTGAACTGGCGACCCTGTAGCTCAGAGCTCGCGCTCTTAACCAACTGAGCCACTTGCTGGCCTTAGGAGAATGTTTTAAACTCTAGTTCTAGCTCTGGAATGTGGACTTTGGTAATAAAGGAGTATTCCCAAGACTGTAAGATCCTGAAAGATGGTGGATGAGGGATAGGGTTGGGGTGTGGGTCTTACCATGGTATCTTCAGGGTTGTGGCTATGTGACTGTATACATAGAGGATGCACCATTATTTTCCCCATACTGACAAGTTTTCTTTCAAGAAATACAATTAAACCATTTTTACTTTATTTTTTTAATTGAGATGTAATTGACATATAACATTTTATTTTCTTATTTGCAAGTATTAGAATTATTACTTCCATTTATTTGAAAAGTAATAGATAAAAAATTGCTCTGTAGAATAATAGTAAATATGATTTTTATGCAATGATTTAAATGATCATAGTTTTGTATAATTCTCTCTGTGTAGATAAAATCAGATATATTTCAAGGGTGTTTTTCCTTCACTGATAGTAATCGTTAATCCAGGGGTTTAGCCTACAATGCTAAAATAAGTTACCTGAATTATTTATGTACTAGGGAAAATAATTCACTATTAGTTTATGCAGTATATTAACTGATGTGTTTTTATATAGTATTCTAATTAAGTCTTTTAAAGTAAAAATTGTAACTTCTTTTTAAAAGAAATTAACATTTTTTTCTTATTACAAGAGGAATTCTTGTTTATTGTAAATATTTTAGAAAATATAATTAGCACAAAAAAGTGTAAAATTATTACTAATTCAATCCTTGTTATTTATAGTTTAGAGTATATGCTTCTTGTTAAGACTTCTATTTTTTAAATAAATAGGTTCATTTGAGACTGAACCTTACCCTCATGATAAAGCCCTTCAAGGAAAACATTCTTATATCATGGCATTTGCATGTGTGAAAGAAAGAACAAACTTTAAGGTTAATTTTTATATCAGTGTTTTGTGACCAGTGCTACTTAAGATATTTTCTACTTAACAGTGTTCATTTCTGATTTTCTCCATCTCAAACATAACGCTGAAAGTCTCTTTTCCTTTGGGCAGTATTTGCCCTAAGTGGATAGGTGACAGCTGTGGCCTTGTGGAGAGAAAGCTTGACCAGTGTGGAGTCACAAGGAAGAAAACCGTAAATCTGGCCCTGCTGTTGAGTAGGCAGGCCTTTGCTCTGGCAAGCCTACTTGATTTTTTTGAATTGGGTCAGTGGTTCTCAGTGTGGTGCCTGGACTAGCAGCGTTAACATTATCTGGGAGCTCATTAGAAATGTAGGTTCTCAGGCTCCATTGAGACCTTAATGAATCAGAAGCTCCGGGGGGTGGGGCCCGGCATTCTGAATTTTAACAAGCCTCCCAGGTGGTTCTGAAACACACCCAAATTGGAAAACCACTGGCCTAATGGTCTCTTTGGCTCTGTGGAGTGCTTCCGGTCTATTAAAATAGACTGATGTTCTTCTCATTTGTTCTCCTAGACACTTGTGAATTTCTGCCTAAAATATAGGGGCAGCATGGGCAGTGATCTTCCTTTCGTTCACTGAGGTACCCCTGGCACCTAGGATGGTGTCGGGCACAAGGAAGACCCTCAAACATGTCTACTGAATGAAGGAATGAATTTAGAACTACTTGCTTGGGAGAATTGGGGCATCCAGCTGTGCCCCTGTGCTGGGACAGAGAAGTGTTGTGAAGTGCTGCACCCGCCCCCTCTTTCCTGAATATCATTAAAGTTCGCTTTTGTTATTTCTGCCTTTAAAGATACCTCAAGAGGCTTGTGAAGGATGTTGATAGTGAGGCTTCCTTTCAAGTGCGATTTTCTTTGGAGGCATCTGGAAATGGGAGGGTTGTATTAACTGACTTCTAAGGATCTCCCTGCTCTATATCTGTCTGTGTATCTATCTGTAAGCTCTTGTGCAGAAAAAGGAAAATTTCAAGGGTATCTGAAAAACAAGAGAAAAAAAAGTAATTGAAGACTGATTTTTAATTGGGAGGGGATGGGGACAATACAGTGGATTTCCTGGATTGAAATAACAAGCGATTGTTTTAGGCATATAACCACAAATTGGAATCATCAGAGACCGTGATTTATTGAGGAATGTAAAGACTACTTTGCTCTGTAGAGGGACTTTTTGTAATCTAAATCAGAACAAACAGGAAGGGAAGCTTTTTTGTTTAAAACGGTGATAAAGGAGATCAGCCTTGACTTGTTGCCAAACCAACAACCATGCTGGGATTTTGTATTTTATGAAGCACATTTATTCATTCAACAAGTAGTTACTGATTAGCTATTGTGTACTGTGTAGTATTACCCCAGCTCCGGGGATAAACTATGGACAAGGATAGTCCCTGCTTTTACAGACCAAGGTCTGCGTCAGGAGCTGGGCATCAAGCCAGAGCTACAATGAAAATAATTACAAATGTGATATGCAGTTATTTTCCATTTATTTTTGTCTATTTTAGAAATTAGATAATTCTGTTGGGGGTGGAACTTTGAAACTATTTAGGTATCCTGTGACTCTGCAAACTTTCGATTTGTTTGTTTATATTAGTATGTATTTGAGGTTCCCTGTATTCCCAATGGGTTATAATTGTGACTGTTATCGTTTCATATTCAAATTGTTTCAGATTTTGCTGATGGGAGCCCCTTCAGCCTGGCTTCTCTCTCGTTTTTTGATGTGCCCCATCATTTTTAAAGTACTTCCTTATTTTCTGGCTTCACAAGGTGTTCCAGGCTTATTTTATACGTTCTCTGTACTAGCATTGGAGTCAGCTATTTCTCCAAAGAGTGTTTCTTTCTGTGGATAATGGTACATAGAAGCCAAGATCTGGACAACAGGTATGCTCAAGGTCACTGGAGTGTCTCTTGTTCCCAAGCCTCTCAGTTGGCAAAGCTAAAGAATGTATGTATAATAACATACACGCACGCACACGCACACACACACACCTATATTTATCTACTTATCTACCTGCATCTCTCTGTTACATGAAAAACACACGTTCACAGTAACACCTCCAATTCCAGCCCAGCACCACAGGGTTTATTCCATGTTTCTGCCTTCCATATTTGAAACTTCGCATGTTATATACCCCACCCCCAGTAGACACTCCTCTTGACTTGCTCAGGCTCTGACACCCTGAGCTGGGTGCCAACTCCCTGCATCAGGCTGCTGCCGTCACTGGTACCCCCAGGAGGCCTGTGGCAGTCTGTCAGGCAGCCCCTCCATGTAGGTAGCTGCTTCATCCTGTTTGTCTTGACTTCCCATGCCTGGCTGCCCCTTTGTGCACATACCCGCTGTGTTGTGATTAGACTCTGGGCTCCCCACCCCGCGTAAGAGCACCCTCCTCACTTGTTTAGGCTCCCATAATCCACTCTTGGTCATAGTGGCTCCCCCTCTGGGCCTGGCTCACCCCCCCCCCCCTTTAGGACAGTTGTTTAGGAAGTGGGAGGGGAAGGCACTAGAATAAAATTTTAAATTATTTTTA